CCACAGGGCCTAGGATTAAACTTTATTTGAACTGCTGAGACTCCTCCCTTAGTTTCAGCCAGCTGTGAGACACCGCTAAGCAGCCCAGACTATGACAAAGGGGGTGTGCGTGAGTCCAACCAGCAATTTTGAATACGTTGGCAGAGGTTCCACAGGGTATTGTCTTTGGGTAGAGGCAGGTGAGTGGGTGAGAGGAGAAGCAAGACAGAGACAGACAGACACAGCTTGTACAAGCAGCTGGCAGCACAACCCTGGAAAACACCCAGAGACAGTTTTGGGGGGTGGCTGAAGAGTGGTTTGGGTGCTGTGAGCAAGGACACAGTCCCCTGTTGTTGGCTCCTTCTGTGTTCAGGGGAACACAGTTTTGTCCATTCCTTGTGAATAAACAAGATTGCACCAAAGGTCCCAGATTCCACCTTCAATTTCTCCTTCCAGCTGGAAAACAAACAGGGACCCAAACTTTGAGTAGCTGCTCAGGCCAAAAGGGGTAGCACTGTTTTATTTTCCCTGAGGAGCAGAAAGCTCTGGCAGAAGGTGCCGTACAAACAGAATTTATTGCTGTTATAGTGACCAGTGGAGAGCAGGAAAAGCAGGTTTCAGAACTGACATGCCCCAGGTTGGCACAGATGGATCACTGAGACTGCTGGCATCAGACCTGCCATCTCAGTGCTTGTTGAGGGTGTGTGCCCATCTTAGGGGACTTTGATCGCTGTGCTGCAATCAGCCTGTCCCAGGGTGTCTATGATCGTAACTTTCCAACCACTTTGATACTTTCATTTTAGCAGCAGGTGGAAGCAGCAGGAGGCAGGACGCTCAGTTCAACTAAAAATACATTAAATGAATCAATAAAGTACGAAGAGTCCAGTCTGCAGCCCCTGGGCTCCGGGACTCCCTGTGTGGAATGGGGGAGGCAGCCTCAGCAAGGGAAACGGACACTTATGATACAAGCTCTTCCTAGAATGGCTGTGGATGGGAGGCCCCTGCAGAGACAGAAACAGCTGGACAGCTTCTTTCCAAGGTGCAGCAGGTAAGGGAGCTCTGGACTTTGGTGGGTCTGTCTGAGATTTGCTTACTTAGAGCACTTCTTCTCTAGATCAGTGGTCCAAAAACTTTTCTGTCGCACCCCCCTTACTCCTGTCCATATGCCCCACTCTGCCCCCAGGAGCTGCAGTTGGAAGCCAGGCCGGCAGCAAAGCCACAGCTCCCGGGAGGGGTGCAGACAGGTGTAAGGGGGCCAGGCTGGGGTTGGAGCTGTGGCCAGGCCGGGAGCTGGGCTGAGGTCACAACTGGGAGCAGATCAGGGACTGGGAGTGGTGCCGGAAGCAGAGCCGCTGCCGGGGCTGGGGTGGGGCTGGGAGTGGAGCTACAGCTGGAGGCATGGCCAGAGCAGAGCTGGGAGCAGAGCGGGGCTGGATGATGCTCCCTTTCCCCCCCACACACCCCCTTGTGGGGGATTGCCCAGGGCCCACCGCACACACACTCCGCACAAATGTTTGCCCCACTGTTTGGGGACCACTGCTCTAGGTGAGCTGTTACTGCCAAAGGTCCTCGTTCCTGGTGATTGCAGGGATAAGCCAGCGCCTTCTCACTCTGAATTTAAACCTGGCTGTGGAAATGTCCATGAAAATTCAGAGATCTCTGCTCATTGGAACACAGATGGGGACGCTGACACAGGGCTGGTTCTTCCTTTCATTCGTCTGCTACAGTTAGTAATATTAGATGTAATTGTCAAATAATGTCCATTTGTAATTTTCCTTCGGGGATGTTCTGATGCTGTGTGTTGTGTGTGCATGTGTATTTCTTTCCCCATCCCTTAGTTATAAGGGCCTGATGCACAAAGGGAGTTAGGTGCTTTAGTCTGAGGTTTTAAGCACCTAAGTCCATGGGCAGAGGGTGAAACCTGGGGTCGGGGAAACTAGCCTTCAGCCCAACCCATCACTTCTTCCCAAGGCCCCGCCCCTCCCACCCCCTTCCCCCGCCGGAGCCCAGAATCATACCCCCTCCTCCGCGGCCACCAGGTCCCCGGCCACCCGAGCGTAGGGTGACCAGATGTCCCGATTTTATAGGGACAGCCCCGATATTTGGGGCTTTTTCCTTATATAGGCTCCTATTACCCCCCACCCCTGTCCCGATTTTTCACACTTGCTGTCTGGTCACCCTACCCGAGCACTCCCGGCCCCAGATTGCCGGGCGGGCAGGTGGCACAGCTCCCCGAACACCGGGTGGGCGGGTGGCACGAGCACCGGCTCTAGGTGCCCAGAGTCCCTAGCCCCAGCCCCAGCCCATGGCTCCGGCCATGGGGGAAGAGCCGCAGAGCGCCAGCGGGGGCAGAGCATGGGCAGGACCACACCGAGCTGTTTGGCGAGGCACAGTCTCCCCTGGCCTTTAATACCTGCTGCCCATGCCTAAGTCACAGTTTTAGGTTACACCGTGATGCACAAAATCCCAGCTGAACCCTCTAGGGGCCTAAACACTAACTCAGCACCTAGGCTTTTGCAGTAAAAGTTCCCTCAGTGCCTGTGTTTCTGCCTCTTGGCATGTGCCCGGCTGCCTCCCTCTCCATGTCAGTACACCTATCTCTAACCTGAGCCCAGAGCGATTCACAAACCAGGGGAAGATAGGTGATCGGCCGCCTGCCGGATCGGGCTCCTCAGGCAAGTGTTCACAAAAAGAATAGGCCTTCGCTCCTAACCTTTAGCCCAGTGGTTTGGGTACTCACATGGGCAGTGGCAGACCCCCAGTTCAAATCCCCCTGTATCTGAGGGGGTAGAAGGGATGTGACCTGGGATCTCTCACCTCTTAGGTAAGGGCCTTAACCGCTGAGCTGTGGGGTAAGTTGATATGGGGCTTCCTCACTTCTGGGTGAGCGTATGACCCACCAGGCTATAGGGTTATTCTCATGTGGGTGCTCTCACTCTCTCTGGCCCAAATAGGAGATCACAAGCTCCAGTATGATTCTGTAACCTGGTGGTTAAAGCCCTCATCCGGGATGTGGGAGACCCAGGATCCAGTCTCCCACTCCGATGATTCTCTCATTATTTATAGCCAGTGGAACGGCTTCACCAGGACAGACAGAGGGACCCCACAGCAGATATCCTGGAGCCCAGTGATTCAGGCACTGACGTGCAAGATGGCAGATCCCTGTTCAAATCACTTCTCATGCTCTGCCTGAGGGGGGACTTGAACCAGGGGCCTGCCACACCCCAGGGGAGTGCTCCAACTACTGGGGTAAAAGCTATGAGGGAGGGGTACCTCCTCCTTTCCCCACCCCCCAGCTTCTGATTAAAATGGCATAAGTGCCCAGCTCCAAAGCCAGTCCCCCACTGTTGGTTGCTACCAGAGCTAGCTGCCTCGCTGCAGCCCAGACTGAGGTGCCTATCTCTGAGAGAGGGGCGGGGCTTAGCACACCCCCCTTTGGCTGGCATCTCCCTTGGGCTAGCTTGGGCAGCTCCCCGCCTAGTGTTCTGGCTTTCGTTAATGGCAGTCTAGGGCACCTACCTCTTCCCGTTCATTGTATGGGACGCTGCGCACCTAACTCAGGCTTTGTGAGTCCCTGTGATCTCCTAGGCACCTAAAAGTTAGGTACTGTTGCTGTGATGCTGAGCTCACAATGCTGAACTTCAGCCTGCGTCACTAAAGTGACGTTCCAAAATGAGGGGCTGAAAGAGGAGAAGAGAAAAACCTTGGTCCAGATTCAGTGAATCCCTCCCAGCCCCACCCCAGTGTGTAGGGTCATTACCCTGAGGGAGGGCAGGTGCTGTTACTTCAGGTTCCTGCCAGGGCAGGGGGTGCTTCACCTACCCTAGAGCTCTGTCAGTGGGAGTCATGGGGAGTGGGGGAGGCGGTGAATCTGCACCCTGGAGCGCTGGTCAGGCTCCCTTCCTGGCCAATGCTGGCTGCTCCGTGGGCAGAGCTGTCCCTGACAGCTGTCCCAGTTTAGGGGAAGTTCCAGGCACAGTCTGGTTCCTGGGAGGATTTTACACCATGGCACAGCCTGGCAGGGGCTGCACGGTTGGATGCAGCGTGAGTCTGAGTGTCTCTAAGGGTATGTCTACACTACGGGATTAATCCGAATTTAGATAATTCGAATTTGGGAAACAGGTTGTATAAATTCGATTGTGCGCGGCCACACTAAGCACATTAATTCGGTTTTTAACCACATTAATTCGGTGGTGTGCGGCCACACTACCCCATTAATTTTAACCACATTAATTCGGTGGTGGCGGCCACACTAACCCTAATTCGAATTAACAAAATCGATTTTGGCGCTACTCCGCTCGTCGAGGTGGAGTACAGAAATCGATTTAAAGCGCCCTTTAATTCGAACTAAATGGCTCTGTTGTGTGGACGGGTGAAGGGTTAATTCGAATTAACGCTGCTAAATCCGAATTAATCCCGTAGTGTAGACCAGGCCTAACACTTTATCTAAAGCTCTTTGTCTGTCAGAGCGGTTTGGAGGTTGCAGATCCCAGGGGCACAGCTGTGCCTCACTGAATTCATCCCTGACATTGCACCAACGCTGGAGACAATGAGGGTGGGTCACTGACACATAAAATCACCACGGCCACGTAGGGAGCTCCCCAGAGAGCCCTCACCTGGGACAGGCATGGCTGGGAGGTGGGGCCACTTCGCTCCAACAATAACTTTATATTTAATATTGAAATGACCCCTCCACTTCCAGCTCTGGCCACTGCTCTCTCAGGCCTTCTCTAGATTGGCTTTGTCTCTCAACGTGTCCCTGGATTGCTGCCATTGGTTTCCACAGGCGGTAGCCATGGTGCAAACACTAGTGAAGACAAGCAGCCACTGAATGTGGCATTTTAACCACCATGTCATCTAACCCTGGTCAGAGCAGGTGCAGACAACGCCGGTTTGTCTGAATCCGTTCCCTTCTGGTTCAGCACGTCTGACCTCCTCCCCATGCCCCATAGCACTGTCACTGCATCCCACTCACTTGCGGTCTGGTTTGTTATTTCTCCTGTTCCCCAGACCAAGCTACGATGATGGGGAAGGTTCCCTCGTTCTCCCCTGGCTCCACAGTGAGCTCCGCTCTGCCCGGCTACGTCGCTCTCTGCCTCGCTCTACAGGTTCACAGGCTGGCGTCAGGTAGGAGCTCCAGCCTTCTCATTGGGTTTGCTGCCTGTAGCTATTATTGTTGGTCATCACCATCCATCTCACATCACTGCCTTGTCTTATAAACAGCGTCTGCTCAACATGCCACCTGGTGTGTCTTGTGCTCTTTACACAACAATCAGCAACATAGAGAAACCACAAGGCACAGCTCGGTCCCCAGGAACCATGGTTACTATCTATACGCAATCTCGTCAGGCCTACTACACACATGCTGCTGCTCTGACTGGTGGGTTCTAAAGCATAGCACATGGTGAGCACCATTACAGGGCTCACAGACTATTTAAAGGGACACTACCCAATTCCTATGCACTGCACTGCCAAACCTTATAAGTCACAGATCAGACTCTTCAGCCCCCCCAAAATCATGAATCCCTGACTCTCCGGTTATGAAGTAATGACCCACAAGTCATTCACACTGCACATCTGACTAGACCAGGGGTAGGCACGTGAAACCTTAGACTGAATAAATGAAGACTCGGCACACCACTTCTGAAAGGTTGCCGACCCCTGGACTAAACGCTAAACCTCATCTCAGGGTATGTCTACACTACGAAATTAGGTCGAATTTATAGAAGCCGGTTTTATAGAAATCGGTTGTATACAGCTGATTGTGTGTGTCCCCACATAAAATGCTCTAAGTGCATTAGTTCGGCAGACCGCATCCACAGTACCGAGGCTAGCGTCGACTTCCGGCGCATTGCACTATGGGTAGCTATCCCACAGTTCCCGCAGTCTCCGCCGCCCATTGGAATTCTGGGTTGAGATCCCAATGCCCGGATGATGCAAAACAGTGCCGCGGGGGGTTCTGGGTACATGTCATCAGGCCCCTCCCCCTCCGTCACAGCAACGGCAGACAATAGATTCGCGCCTTTTTACCTGGGTTACCTGTGCAGACAACATACCACGGCAAGCATGGAACCCGCTCAGCTCAGCTCACCGTCACCATATGTCATCTAGGTGCCGGCAGACATGGGACTGCATTGCTACACAGCAGCAGCAGCTAACTGCCTTTTGGCGGTAGACGGTGCAACATGACTGGTAGCCTTCATTGGCGATCTGGGTGCCGGCAGTCGTGGGGCTGGCAGCCGTGGGGCTGCATTGCACCAGCCCCCTTGCCTTTTGGCAGTAGATGGTTTATTACGATTGGTAACCGTCCTCGTCGTACAGCAGTGGCTGTCGATCATGGACACCTGGGCAGACAATGATGGTTATCAGTCGTAGTATGCCATTTTCTGCCATGCGCCCTGTTGGCTCATCGCACGTTAGCTGAGTCGTAGTATGCTATTTTCTGCCAATTGCCCAGTATTTTCTGCTAAGCACCCAGAAGAGGCCGAGGGTGATCTGGGTGCTGGCAGACATGGGGCTGGCAGACGTGGGGCTAGATTGCTACACAGCAGCAACCCCTTGCCTTTTGGGCAGAAGATAGTATATTACGACTGGTATCCATCGTTGTCATACTGCAGTGGGTATCAGATGGTGCAATAGACCTGAAGGCTAACTGCCAAGCACCCAGTATTTGCTGCCAAGCACCCAGTAAATGCCAAGGGCTATCAGTCATGCTGCACCATCGTCTTAAGATGTAAAAAATAGATTTATTTTGTATTCATTTGCTTCCCCCCTCCCCCTTGCTAAACCCAGGCTTTTGAGTTCAATCTTTGGGGGGGGGGCATTCTGTGTGACAGTTGTTTGTGTTTCTCCCTGATGCAAAGCCACCTTTCTTGATTTTAATTCCCTGTACCTGTACGCCATGTCGTCACTCGCCCCTCCCTCCCTCCCTTCTTCCCCTGGTCCGTCAGATACTACTTTTGCGCATTTTTTCAGACCAGACACCATAGCTAGCACTGGGATCATGGAGCCCGCTCAGATCACCGCGGTAATTATGAGCACTATGAACACCACGCGCATTGTCCTGGAGTATATGCAGAGCCAGGACATGCCAAAGCAAAACCAGGACCAGGCGAGGAGGAGGCGATTGCAGCGCGGCGACGAGAGTGATGAGGAAATGGACATGGACCTAGACCTCTCACAAGGCACAGGCCCCAGCAATGTGGAAATCATGGTGTTAATGGGGCAGGTTCATGCCGTGGAACGCCGATTCTGGGCCCGGGAAACAAGCACAGACTGGTGGGACCGCATCGTGCTGCAGGTGTGGGACGATTCCCAGTGGCTGCAAAACTTTCGCATGCGTAAGGGCACTTTCATGGAACTTTGTGACTTGCTTTCCCCTGCCCTGAAGCGCCAGAATACCAGGATGAGAGCAGCCCTCACAGTTGAGAAGCGAGTGGCGATAGCCCTGTGGAAGCTTGCAACGCCAGACAGCTACCGGTCAGTCGGGAATCAATTTGGAGTGGGCAAATCTACTGTGGGGGCTGCTGTGATCCAAGTTGCCAGGGCAATGAGAGACCTGGTGATATCAAGGGTAGTGACTCTGGGAAACGTGCAGGCCATAGTGGATGGCTTTGCTGCAATGGGATTCCCAAACTGTGGTGGGGCGATAGACGGAACCCATATCCCTATCTTGGCACCGGAGCACCAAACCACCGAGTACATAAACCGCAAGGGGTACTTCTCAATGCTGCTGCAAGCCCTGGTGGATCACAAGGGACGTTTCACCGACATCAACGTGGGCTGGCCGGGAAGGGTACATGATGCTCGCGTCTTCAGGCACTCTGTTCTGTTTCGAAAGTTGGAGGAAGGGACTTTCTTCCCGGACCAGAAAATAACCGTTGGGGATGTTGAAATGCCTATCGTGATCCTTGGGGACCCAGCCTACCCCTTAATGCCATGGCTCATGAAGCCGTACACAGGCAGCCTGGACAGGAGTCAGGACCTGTTCAACTACAGGCTGAGCAAGTGCCGAATGGTGGTAGAATGTGCATTTGGGCGTTTAAAAGCACGCTGGCGCAGCTTACTGACTCGCTCAGACCTTGGCGAAAAGAATATCCCCATTGTTATTGCTGCTTGCTGTGCGCTCCACAATATCTGTGAGAGTAAGGGGGAGACATTTATGGCAGGGTGGGAGGTTGAGGCAAATCGCCTGGCCGCTGATTACGCGCAGCCAGACACCAGGGTGGTTAGAGGAGCACAGCAGGGCGCGGTGCGCATCAGAGTAGCTTTGAAAACGAGTTTTGTGACTGGCCAGGCTACGGAGTGAAACTTCTGTTTGTTTCTCCTTGATGAACCCTCCGCCCCTCCACCCCCCCACCCGGTTAACTCTACTTCCCTGTAAACCAACCACCCCACCCTCCCCTACTACCCTCCCCCCTTCGAGCACCACTTGCAGAGGCAATAAAGTCATTGTTACTTCACATTCATGCATTCTTTATTAATTCATCACACAACTAGGGGGATAATTGCAAAGGTAGCCCGGGATGGGTGGGGGAGGAGGGAAGGAAAAGGACACACTGCAGTTTAAAACTTTAAAACTTTAGCACTTATTGCTCGGGAAATCATCTGGGCTGGAGTGACTGGGTGGCCGGAGGCCCCCCCACCGTGTTCTTGGGCGTCTGGGTGAGGAGGCAATGGGACTTGGGGAGGAGGGCTGTTGGTTACACAGGGGCTGTAGCGGCGGTCTGTGCTCCTGCTGCCTTTCCTGCAGCTCAACCATACGCTGGAGCATATCAGTTTGATGCTCCAGCAGCCGGAGCATGGACTCTTGCCTTCTGTGTGCAAGTTGATGCCACCTCTCATCTTCAGCCCGCAACTTGCTCTGTTCCTCCCGCGATTCAGCACGCAACCTCTCCTCCTCAGCCTGCGATTCAGCCCGCCACCTCTCCTCTCGTTCATATTGGGCTTTTTGATAATCAGTCATTGACTGCCTCCACGCATTCTGCTGGGCTCTGTCAGCGTGGGAGGCAGTCTGTAGTTCTGCAAACATTTCATCACGCGTCCTTCGCTTCCGTTTTCAAATATTCACTAGCCTCTGTGAAGGAGAATGATTTGCAGCTGGTGGATGAGAAGGGAGAGGTGGTTAAAAAAGATACATTTTAGAGAACAATGGGTACACTCTTTCACGTTACATTTTGCTGTTCACATTACACAGCAGATGTGCTTTCGTTACAAGGTCGCATTTTTCCTCTTATATTGAGGGCCTGCCGGTTTGGTGTGAGAGATCACTCACGCAGTGCCAGGCCACAGATTTCAGCTTGCAGGCAGCCATGGTAAGACACAGTCTTTTGGCTTTTTTAACCTTCTTAACATGTGGGGATGGTTTCAAAGAGTACTGCTCTCATTAACCATACCAAGCACCCGTTGGGTTGGCCATTTAAAATGGGTTTGCAATGTAAAAGGAGGGGCTGCGGTTTCAGGGTTAACGTGCAGCACAAACCCAACTAATAACCCTCCCCCACACACCCAATTCTCTGGGATGATCACTTCACCCCTCCCCCCACCGCGTGGCTAACAGCGGGGAATATTTCTGTTCAGCAGAGCAGGAAGGGGCACCTCTGAATGTCCCCTTAATAAAATTGCCCCATTTCAACCAGGTGACCGTGAATGATATCACTCTCCTGAGGATAACAAAGAGCGATAAGGAATGGATGTTGTCTGCATGCCAGCAAACACCGGGACCATACGCTGCCATGCTTTGTTATGCAATGATTCCAGACTACGTGCTACTGGCCTGGCGTGGTAAAGTGTCCTACCATGGCGGATGGGATAAGGCAGCCCTCCCCAGAAACCTTTTGCAAAGGCTTTGGGAGTACATGAAGGAGAGCTTTCTGGAGATGTCCCTGGAGGATTTCCGCTCCATCCCCATACACGTTAACAGACTTTTCCAGTAGCTGTACTGGCCGCGATTGCCAGGGCAAATTAATCATTAATCATTAAACACGCTTTCTTTTAAACCATGTGTAATATTTACAAAGGTACACTCACCAGAGGTCCCCTGTGTGCCCACAGGGTCTTGGGTGAGTTCGGGGGTTACTGGTTCCAGGTCCAGGGTGATAAACATATCCTGGCTGTTGTGGAAACCGGTTTCTCCGCTTCCTTGGTGCTGTGAGCTATTTACATTATCTTCATCCTCATCTTCCTCGTCCCCAGAACCCGCTTCCCTGTGTGTTTCTCCAGTGAGGGACTCATAGCACACGGTTGGGGTAGTGGTGGCTGCACCCCCTAGAATGGCACGCAGATCCGCGTAGAAGCGGCATGTTTGAGGCTCAGCCCCGGACCTTCCGTTTGCCTCTCTGGCTTTGTGGTAGGCTTGCCTTAGCTCCTTAATTTTCACGCGGCACTGCTGTGCGTCCCTGTTATGGCCTCTGTCCTTCATGGTCTTGGAGACCTTTTCTAATATTTTGCCATTTCGTTTACTGCTTCGGAGTTCGGCCAGCACTGATTCATCTCCCCATATGGCGAGCAGATCCCGAACCTCCCGTTCTGTCCATGCTGGAGCTCTTTTGCGATCCTGGGACTCCATCACGGTTACCTGTGCTGATGAGCTCTGCGTGGTCACCTGTGCTCTCCACGCTGAGCAAACAGGAAATGAAATTCAAACGTTCGCGGGGCTTTTCCTGTCTACCTGGCCAGTGCATCTGAGTTGAGAGTGCTGTCCAGAGCGGTCACAATGAAGCACTGTGGGATAGCTCCCGGAGGCCAATAACGTCGAATTCCGTCCACACTAACCCAATTCCGACCCCCTAAGGCCGATTTTATCGCTAATCCCCTCGTCGGAGGTGGAGTAAAGAAACCGGTTTAAAGGGCCCTTTAAGTCGAAAGAAAGGGCTTCGTCGTGTGAACGTGTCCAGGCTTAATTCGATTTAACGCGGCTAAAGTTGACCTAAACTCGTAGTGTAGACCAGGCCTCAGAATGAGCAGGTGAAGGTATTTGCCGGCTTCTTCATTCTTTGCTCTCAGTGCAGCCCATTTTGTGACCCTCTCCACACCTGGGGCTTCCTCCACAGCTACTTGGGCTCTGTGGTTTCCCCCTTGCTGTGGTTTCCAACCTGCTAATTTAACCAGCTCTCTCTGTGTCTCCTGATGCTGAGTCACTGCCCTGAGACCCCCCTTTCTGTGCAATTCCACAATGGCTGGTTCTCTGCCCCTGCTCTTTTCTATCTGCCTCCTCCCCCCTCACCATTATCTTACCTCTGACTTTGCCTTTAAAGCCACCTCCTGCAGAGTGGTGATGATTATCTGTTTTCACATCTTTACACCTTGCAGGCCCTTACACCATCCCTACACCAGCTGGGGAGGGCCCCACACTGGAGCAGCATGAAAAGATCTTGGTGTATCAGAGAATCAGTCCTCCCAATATCCATTATCCCCAAGGTGCCCAAGAGAAGGGTTGAGCCCTATTCAGATATAATCAGGAAATTGTTTAAAGTTCACATGTGAATTCTGTGTGACAGATATTACAGCCACATGTGGACTATCAAATTTACTTTATGAACGTTCTGTGTATTTTTGTACCCGCTCTATAAATAGTATCTATACATGCTATGTGTAACTTTGTGGGCTCGGGATTGTAATCTACTCCATGGGGGAGGGTTACTTCATCTCCTCCAGGATTTACACACCATTGGGGATAATTACTTCTGGGACAGGTAACAGCTCCAGAGAAGTGCCACCCCTAGGGAAAATTGAACAAACTAGTTCAGACTAGATCCCCGAAGCCAAAGAGAACAAAGATTTTTGGTACAAACCCTTGAGGCCTGGGATCTTGGGCTACAAACCAACAGGATCTGTTAACCAAGAGGGCAAACCCTTAGAGGAAGGTTTGAAGGACTTTGGACCCTACCAGAGCATCCCATGTGCCAGATGAGAATCCTTTGGGATAAGTGTAACATGTTCAGACCTTCAGTTGGTTTATGGTAACTTTTATCTGTCAAGCTTTTATCCTTCAATATTCTCTGCTTTGGAAGAGCTGTTTGGTTACTGGTAGCCGCTGGCACACACTGTCCATAGCCCTGGGATAGAAAGCAAAGTGCAGGTGCTGGTCTTTGGTCAGGCCTGCTGGGAAAACCACAGTGAATTTCAGGGAGGCTGCAAGGTAGGGTGACCAGACGTCCCGATTTTATCAGGACTGTCCCGATATTTGCTTGTTTGTCCCGCGTCCCGACCGATGTGCGGTCGGGACACTGGACAAACAAGGAAATGCTCCGGAGCCCAGAAGTGCTCACGCCCCCCCCCCAGCCCTGACTCCGCCCCCTTCTCCCCCCATTGGCTCCCTCCCCGAATCCCCGCCTCTTCCCCAGGCTCACCATTCCTCCTCCCTCCACAAGCTCTGGAGGGAGGCCCGGAGACGCAGGGGAAGTGCAGGGCCGGGGTGAGTGAGAGTCCGGCCTGGCCCCGAGCAGGCAGGACTCAGTCGGGCGGTAGGGAGAGTAGGGGGGTGGCCCGCAGGGCCAGGCGGTGGCTGTTCTCCCCCCCGGGCAGCGGGACTCGGGAGCAGCTGCTGCTGCAGCTCCCACTGCCGCAGGGGGAGGAAGTGGCCGATGGCCAAGTTCGGCGGCTGCGGCTCTGGCGCCCCCGAACCCCCCGAGCCCGGGCCTGCTGCGGGGACCCAGCAGTGCGCACGCTGCGCCCAGCCCCTGGCCAGTCGCGTCTGGGCTGGCTGCCCAGCTGGTGCAATCCCGCGGCGGCCTGGGGCGGAGGCATCGGCAGCCCAGCCCCGTTCATTCCCCTGCGGGACCCGAGCAGGATGGGGGGGCTGGGGCCTGCTGCCCCCACTCTGGGGCCGCCCGCAGGATTGCACCAGCTGGGCAGCAGCCCAGACGCAACTGGCCAGGGGCTGGGCACGCACAGCATGCGCGCTGGGTCGCCACAGCAGGCCCAGGCTCGGGGGGTTCGGGCCCGGGCGCCAGAGCCGCAGCCGCCGACCTTGGCCATCGGCCGCTTCCTCCCCCCGCGGCAGTAGGAGCTGCAGCAGCGGCTGCTCCTGAGTCCCGCTGCCCAGGGGGGGAGAACAGTTGCTGCCTGGCCCCGCGGGCCGCCCCCCTACTCTGCGTCTCCGGGGCCTCCCTCCAGCACTTGTGGGGGGGGGTTTTTTTTTTTTTGCCCCGCCCCCCCCATGTCCCGATATTTGACCTGGGTGATCTGGTCACCCTACTGCAAGGGTAAAACCCCAGTGTGGAGGGAGAGGGACGTGGGTCCCTGCCTGCAGAGAGGTGACGGCTGTCGGTCTGAGACTTAAGGGAACATTCCTTGAGCAGGCCACACAGGGAATCAGAGATGCAGTTACCCCAAACCTGTGACTCTCTGTACTCACAGACATGTCTAGTGCACTGCCTGGGGACGTGGCGTTCACTTCTAACACAAGGTGCTCTCTTACTGCGTGTCTTACTGCTGAATTAATGCCAACCCCAGCTCCTCACCGGTTTAACTTCCATTTTTTATTGTAAATTTCACAGGACAGTTCACAGTGACTGGACCTGACCATCCAATCACTGCCTCCCTAGCTGGAGAGGCCGTCCTGCCCTGCCACCTCTCCCCCAAGATGAGCGCTGAGAACATGGAGGTGAGATGGTTCCGATCCGAGTTCTCTGCAATCGTGCACCTGTACCGTGATGGGCAGGATCAGTACGGACAGCAGATGCCAGAATATCGAGGAAGAACTGAGCTCTGGAAAGACGACATCACCAATGGGAGAGTTTCCCTGAGAATACGCGATATCCAACTGTCAGACGGTGGGCAGTATAAGTGTTTTTTTAAATCGAGTGTCTCTTATGAAGAAGCTTTATTGGAACTGCAGGTGGCAGGTCAGTAACTTGTTCTGATACTTTGACGTCTTCAACAGGGTAATAAGTGGAGTCAGAGGGGTCATTGTGAGATGACACAATTTTTCTCATTATAGTGGGGCAGTAGCTCTGCTCTGGTTAAGGTTGATTCTAGTTTACTGTTTAACAGCTGTTTTTTTCGAAGGTCTCTAAAATTAACACACATACTCAGATTGTCTTGAAAATTGCTGTGACTCATTGGAGTCTGGGGTAGGGTTAGTGGGCTAAATTTGAGTCATTAGAGCAAGGGGTTAATGAGATACACAAACACCCCTGAAAAGTCAGGTGAGATTAACATGTTGCCATTATTACAAAATTTTTGTGATCACCTGGGGCCAAACAATGGCAGATCCTCCCCACACTGATGCCACCACCTGGGATTGATCTTGGCTTGCATCTGGCACCCACAGGGTTATAATGGTTGATGCACAGGGTTCTGTAGCCCAGAGCCTGGTATAAGAGTGGGAGAGTTGGGGAATTTCCCCCCCCCCGATGGGTAAAGGCAGGAGGCCTGACCCCTGAACCAGAGAGACCAGAAGGGGACATGTGTAGCTAGTTCTGTAACCGTGACATAAGCTTTAGGTCAGGTGCAGCAAACAGCAGACTGCTGGCAATCCCCCTGGCAATAAGAGTCCTCTGTGAACTTCTGCTGACACAGCCTACAGACCTCAGCACTGAAATGAAGCAAACATGATCCCTCTCCTCATATCGCAGTGACAGCTCTGTCACCCTGCTCGAATGAATCCCTCCACCAGTCACTACAGCGACTCCGAACACGGGGAAGGCAGTGGGAGTGAGGGCAGAGAGATGCTAGAATCCAAATCCAAGAAACACAACACAAGCAATGGCACCTTCCCATAGCCCTTCTTCATGCCTGTGTATTATGGCACCACCCTCACTGAACCGTTCCCAGAGCCTATTGCCAGCCCAGGAGGCAGAGTTAAGGTTACAGGGCTGGGGCGCTGTGTGCCATTACTTTGTATCTCTTGGGTTTCAGACATTTAAGTTTGGCCGCTCTCTGTGTTTTGGAAAGGCACAAGGCCCTGCTGGGCAACCGTAATTCTGCATTGACGAGTATTTGTTGGGAACTAATATGTAACTATAGAGCTCCTGTGGTCAAGATGGAGTCTGCTCTGCAGAGCAGCTCCAGCCAAGAACAGGCACGCACTGGAGTGCAGCAGGGTAACTCCCTTCTACCCCAGGGCACAGGTGATGCATCAGGGAGGATGCAGGGTCATGTGCTCACCCAGATTTGCTGCCTGGCTTGTACTGAGCATGCCTAGTAATACTGCTGAAGCCAGCTGCCCTCTCTCTGACTCCCCCCCCCCCCCCCCCACACACACACACTGTCGGCAGGCACGAGTCATCCCAGCCCCAGGGGCACCTGTTCGAAATCCTCTGGGGTAAACACGCACACACCAGAATAGTACAACAAATATAGGAAGGGGAAATATTTATTTACAGAGGGATGAAGGTAGAAAAACAACTGGAGGAATATGGGGGGGGGGGTGATAAAACAGGCTGAGATCCAACAAGAGGCCCCAGTGGTACCACAACATAAAAGGGTAGATGCTAACCACTGCGTCTACTCAGAGTTCAGGAGTCCTGGGCAGGGTTCCAGTGCAGTGGTGAGTCTTGGTGCTCCTGGTCATCTTTGATGCCAGTGAACTTTCCCCAGCAAACCCCTCTGGTGCCCTCTTCTGCCGCTCTCTGCAAAGCCCCACAGAGCAACAACCTCCCCACTTACCTGGCTGCAGCCTCCCTCTTTATTCCCAATGCAAGGTCACAAGTCCCAGTACTCACGGCCCCATACAGCTCTGGGTGACAGGGATACTGGGTTCAGCTCTGGTTTGTCCTTCTCAGGTGATTCCTTCCTGTCACAATGCTCCTCCTGGCTCCGGTCCTGATGTGTCCCCGGTCGGCTGCTCTGTCCCTCCCAGGCTTCTCAGTTGCTTCTCTTGTTGGGAGCTACAGACACACATGCCCTGTTCCTCTCCCTCTCTCCACCCTCCTCCCCATAGGCGCCAACTCTGTGGGTGCTCCAGGGCTTGAGCACCCATGGAAAAAAATTAGCAGGTGCTTAGCACCCACTGGCAGCCACCTACTAGCTTCCTCGTCCGCCGGTGGCCCTGCTGATCAATTCCTCCCCCTCCCTCCCAGCGCCTACCACCTGCTGCAATCAGCTGTTCCACGGCGTGCAGGAGGCGCTGGGAGGGAGGGGGAAGGAGCAATGGTGGGGCGTGCTCAGGGGAGGGGGCGGGACAGGAAGAGGCGAGGTGGGGGTGGGGACTTGGGAGAAGGCGTCGGGTGGGGGTGGGGCCTGGGGTAGAGCGGGAGGTTGAGCACCCCCCACAGAGCCTGGAGGAAGCTGGTGCCCCAGGACAGGTTTTAAAGGGGCCATGGTCTCTAAACCCCAAGGGGGGTTGTCACGGAGTGTGGGGGGACACAAGGCCCTGCACCCCCGGCTTCCTGCGATTCACCATGACTCTCAGCCAGCCAGTAAAGCAGAAGGTTTATTTAGACTACAGGAACACAGTCCAAGACAGGTCTTGCAGGCACAGACAACAGGACCCCCTCAGTTAGGTCCATCTTGGGGTCCCAGGGGCACCACAGGCCCATTGGGGGGGAGGCAGAGCCCCGTCTGGGCTCCCTCCATTACCAGCCAGCTGCTGAAACTCTCCCCCTCCCAGCGTCTCCTCCCCCCTGCCTTTGTTCAGTTTCCCTGGCCAAGGTGTCACCTGGCCTCTAACCCCTTCCTGGGTTCTCACGTTACATGCTCAGGTATTCTCGCTCAAGGCCAGTCTCCCATCCCCCCATGCAGACCATCCTAGCCACACTCCCCTGCCTTCCCAGGCCAACCCTCCCCACTCAGCATTCAAAGACCACATTAAGAACAGTCCCAGTTCGTCACATCTCTCCCCCCTTCGAGACCGAACTGAGCGGGGTCACTTCAGCCAGTGACCTGGGGAAGTTCGAACCTACCCACGTTCCCATGGATGACCCCGCATCCCTCCCATTCCTTGGTGAGAATTACACCAGTCCCTTCCAGTTTCACGCCCCCCGTTAGGTCGGGGGTGCTCGATGGCACTCGTAGTTCACATGTGGGAAGGTTTATGTGGCCTGTGCCCTTTTCCCACCCCAATACTCCTGGGGTTCCAACTGGGCTGGGGTCTTCTCCCAGCGTTCCAGTCTGGAGGTCTGTGATTCGGGCTGTCTTGGTTCAGAGCCCCCCTTTTTACCTTGGCCACCCTCTGGAAAGGTTCCTCTATGATGGGCAAGGGTCCTAAAGCCATTTTCCCCTTGTCCCAGGCCTTCCTCACCCCCGGCAGGGGTCACAGGATCGGCAGTACTGTCGGACAGTAATAAAGACCCCAGGCCAGTAAAAGTTCTGCAGCAGCCTCTGCTGGGTATGCCAGGTTCCCTGGTGCCCTGAGAGGGGGATGTCATGGGCCCGGTATAGCAGCTGGCGGTGATACTTCTGGGGTACCACCAGCTGCCTCCTGATCCCCCCTGACTCCATTTTCCCTGGGGGAGCCCATTCTCGGTACAGGAACCCCTTCTCCCACAGGAACCTTTTCCGGCAACCTCTCCCCATGGTCTGTACCGCACTGAGGTCAGCCAGGTCCCTTAGCTTCCGCAAGGAGGGATCTTTCTGCAACTCGGCCTGGAACTCAGCAGCTGGGACAGAGATGGGCGCCTGCTCTCTCTCGCCGGCTGTATCTGAAGCCGCAGCCTCCCTGAGGTGTGTCCCTGGGCGTTCCCTCCCCACCAGGTTAGGGTCCTGCGCCTCGGGCAAGGCACCCCCCCCAAGGTCAGGGCGCAGTGCCCCTCGCCGGCTCTGACTACTGGTCACGACCAGGGCACCCTGGGGGTTGCTTGGCCAGTCCTCCAGGTCCCCCCCCCATCAACACCTCAGTGGGCAAATACGGGTGTACCCCCACGTCCTTGGGGCCCTCCTTGGCCCCCCACTTCAGGTGTACCCTCGACATGGGCACCTTGAATGGGGTCCCGCCCACCCCCGTCAGGGTCAGGTAGGTGTTGGGCAGCACCCGATCTGGGGCCACCACCTCGGGCCAGGCCAGCGTCACCTCTGCGCCTGTATCCCAGTATCCATTGACCTTCCTCCCATCCACCTCCAGGGGAACAAGGCACTCTCTCTGGAGGGACCGCCCTGCGCCCACCCTGTAAATCAAAAACCCTGAGTCTGGAGCATACAGCCCCCCAGAGGAGCTGGCCTGGAGCTCTCCTCCCTCCTTAGCAGGTGGTATGCTGCCAGCCCCCCTTTCCTAGGAACGCTGCCTCTCGCCCGGCTGGGTCTCTACCCAGTCAACCCTCTGTGGGTTGGATCCGCTCAGTCTGTCCCTGAGCCTGAGGCACTGGGCCCTTATGTGGCCTCTTTGGCCACAGTGATAGCAGCCCATGTCCCGTGGGTCCCCTCGAACGGGTCGGATGGACCTGACGCTGGATGTTCCCCTTTGGTGGGGGTTCTCCGTATTTCCCCGCTGGGAGGTCCCCGTTGACTCTCTCTCTGCATTGTGGCGGGCCTGTTCCTTTGGGATTCCTCCCTGTCATCCCCTGCCCGACTGTTCACAAACTCGTCGGCCAGCTGGCCTGCATGCTGCAGGTTCTCTGGTTTTTGGTCCATCAACCATCGCCTCAGGTCGGATGGGCACTGCTCATACAGGTGCTCCAGTACGAATAGGTCAAGCAGTTCTTCTTTATTTTGGGCCCCAGCTGTCCACTTGCGGGCATACCCCTGCGTCTGGTTGGCCAGTTGTAGGTATGTGATCTCACGGGTTTTACGCTGACTCCGGAACCTTTTCCGGTACATCTCAGGGGTCAGCCCAAACTCGCGGAGCAGGGCCTTTTTGAACAGTTCGTAGTCTCCTGTCTCTGCCCCTTTCAGTCGGCTGTACACCTCCACGGCTGTGGAGTCCAGTGAGGGAATGAGAAACTGGAGCCTGTCTGCAGGGTCAACCTGG